AATATGCCATGCTATAATCACCTAAATATTATCATTGGTATCCAGCCAGAACTATCCCGATGGTCACCACAAAAAACTTAAGAACTTTGGGACAACCATTTGTCAAAACATGGTCGTGCTTGGACGTGAATCAGACACAAACAAGTTTGACAAGGATGCTCTTGCTGCCACGAGTATGCAGACCATTTTCGGACGCAGCATGAGCCACAAAAGTAAAGGCTTCACATGGCGTGTGGTGCACGCAAGCAAGGCGCTAGAAGCAGGCGCTGATGTTTTTGTGTGCTGTTCTGATAGCTTTCCAAATTTGTTCCAAGCATGAAGCTAATCGGTGCATGTGGTCTAGACCGTGCTTATTTATAATGCGGTGGTAAGTATTGGTATAACCAACAGTGGGGTCGCTGGCGTTGGGCAACCATTAACATAAGGGTGAAGTTTTTACCATAATTGGAAAGGCGTCACAGGAGAAATTAACTCCAGTAATGTGTGAGGAATGGTTACGTTTGTTACGCCAATGGTCGCCAGCGAGCTCCTTGCTCCAAGCTCCCAGTACAACCTACAGGTTCTGGTAAACCGTTTGCAAAGATATGCTTTACGTAACGATGGATGATGAATGGTGGATGTACACTGTAAGGTCAGTGCGGCTCGGCGTAAAGCACATCGATCAGCTTTCAGGTGTTGGATCGTTTGTTGTAATGAAAACTGATCGGAATACCTGATTTTCCTAGCGCTACATCGATCTACGTGCTAACGCAAGGTTGGGCTGGGATGCAAAGCATTACATGACATATTTAACCGAAAGACTTTCTCAGTTTCAAGTGCTGCCAGAACGACTGCCACAGCTGTGAACGAGCCCGAATGATTTACATCTCATTCTACTTTGACTACAGGAGCATTAAGTCCATCTGGTAAGCGTCATGGATCAATGCAGTCGTTCGCCTGATGGCGTTTTTTTGCCGTTGTATTCGTTCTGGTGTCGGCAGAAATCTCCTCCCACTAATATGGTCTGGTTGGAGCCTGTGAGGAATATTACGTGTACAGACGGCAGGTGCTCGCAGTCGGTAAGAGAAACCCCGTAAACCCCGTATAAACCCTCTCTCTCTCTCTATATATATATATACAGACCGTCAGGTATTCGTAGCTGGTAAGAGATATCCTGCATACTGACGCCAGGTGCTCACAATAATCCGACGCCGGGTAATTCAGGGCACTAGGCACTGGTGAGAGCCATGGCAATCTCCCTCAGTAGGCGTGCTGATCGATGGGGATTTCTGAACTTCTCATTGGTAACAGCGCGAGCTCACCATCAGCGGCTCCCCTCCCTCCCGAACTGTGGAAAAAATCTGAAATAAGTGCTGTTTCACACAGCCGGCCAGTCATCTCTCCGCCTCTGTCGAGATCCAACGAAGGCAACGTGTGGATGACTCTGGCGTCTGGGAGGCAGTTGACGCGTCATACGGAGACGTAGCCGACCCTGAGGTCAGATGAGGGCGCGACGGCAGGATGGCCCAAGTCTCAGCCGTGACCGCTCTCATTTCAAGTCCGTGCGGCGTCCCCTCTTGATGGCCTCGTTCGCCAAATCACCTCCGGCGAGCGCAGGGCACCCCTCGGCCGGCCTGCGCCTCGTGCACGTACGCCGCTCAGGCTCGGCCGGAGCGGACGGTGACAGAGCTAGCCGCTCGCGCGCTGCATACGTTGGGTTTCACTGGCGCGCGTGATATGTGGCTTGTTGTTGGTGGGCTGCACCACATGTGCTCACTCTGGCTGTCTAGTTATACCTGCAAGTAAAGGCCCAGTAGTGGGGGATTCATCCGGTAACGCGGTTTTGTACTTTCCTGTACTGCATTGTACGCTCATCATAAGCCTATCTACAATTAGTACTGCATCGGTTAACACCCATGCCAGCAGTTGTGCATTTGACTAAATGTTGGTTGAAAACATTCAGTCAAACGAAAATTCTACCGTAGCATCTATTTTTCACCGTTGAAATTTTGCTCCATTCATCAACCATAATGCCGTAATATTTAGCCCTTGGAATAGCAGCTCTAGAGCTCAAAAGAGTATGCGATCCATGGCGGATACCGATGCACAGCGCATGCGCATCCGGTTATATTATCCGGATCACACCCTGTTTTATGAACAAGAACAAGAAAACAAGAACAAGAACCGTGCAATAAACAAGAACCGTGCAATAGCCTCTCCGACGTACTGCATAATACAGACACTATATTATCCACACAGCCATGTCCTTGAAGCGCGCCCCCTTCCCCGTTTTCGACCTACTGTTAGCTGTCCATCTCTTGCATATATCAAAGCCGCGGAGGGCTCAGAGGGCTCAGAGAAGCCCAGGGGCTAGGCATTCAGTGGCCCTTAAAACGGGCAAAGTTAAAGCCGGTGTTGTAACGCTCAGCTTGTGAGGGACAGCTATGCCTGTACAATATTGAAGCCGCCCTTTGACAAGTCAAGTCAGGCTACTTCGGTCAAATCGACACTTAATTTTCTCACCCTGCTATCTCAAGAATCAAGCAGGCTACGGAAATGCAGAGAATAGTATCGCCTAGCGCCAAAAATAGCTATCAGATGGACTCTACAGGGAATCGACGGGTATGATCTGTCGTATGTCATATCAGATAAAGCGGATGAAGCACCTTTGCGGTGTAAAGCGCCTCCACAGCGCGATTGTTTCAAGCTAGGGAACGAGGACAAACTAGGATGTTCAAAATATGCCCCTTAAATATGATAATGTTCAAATAAACTTTAGAGCTGCAATTGCGTGAGATCACAGCCCTAATATGTATTTGCAGTTTGGTGCTTGTTAGCCTGCTGCTTGCGCCAGCCACTGACTGGAAGCACAATGACTCTCACGTGATTGTAGAAAGTATTTACAAGGCGCGGTTGCAATTGTCGCGATAGCCAGGCAGCACCAGACGCATGTCATCCAATATTGGCACTTTCTAAGATTTCACAGTGTCATAGTTCACTACTTACCAATGTTGTGAATTGATGTAACCCAGCATCAACATAAACCAATACAGTGTTGAAAATTGAGCACCATATGTATAAAGCAACACACCGAATATTCTGTCATAAGTCAGGACTTTGCAGTAATCTGCGAGCAAATGCATAAATCGTATCGGTTCAATAAATATTATGGGTGTGATGCTCGTAGCAGACATGGCAGAGCGCAGACTGACCTTTCCTGCCTACCACCGTTGTCACGTTGGTGGCTTGCTTGACCTCTGTAGAAGGAATTCCTCTTTCCTTTATTCCAAGGCAACCAACGTTTAAGAGTGTTTAAGATTTGTTTCTGTATATTCCTCGACCGCGAACCAAGGTACCGATGGATGTGCTTCTGCCACTGCACACGTGTCACGTACAGCACGTTATCGGCGCAGCTCACTTGTTATCATGGCCGCTTCTCACTATCACCTCAGCCTGTCGGCATGACATTAGTTCCTCATCGCCTCGTCGCATTAGCTCCTCATCATGTTATTACCTTATCGTATTAGCTCGCCATGACATTTGCATGATTACATTAACATTATGGTGTTACGTTGACATATCTTACTAGGCTTAGCTCTGCGTTATCACCTTAGACATCATCACTTCAGTTAATCAA